CTTTTTCGCCTAATCTTGATATGAAACGGCTGAGGGCGGCCATGCATCCGGTAAGCTTCTGAACATCCTTCACCTTTTTGGGCGGTTTCATGTCCAAAACAGCTTTGACTTTTTCTGGGTTAGGGCGTATGCCATCGTGACTGACGACGTTGCCGAGGAGTATGCCAGAAGGAACACCAAAGATGCACTTCTTTGGGTTTAACTTCCACTAGAATGTGTTAAGGGCTGCAAAAGTGTGTCCCAGGTTGTCAACAAGGGTATGAGCTTCCTTGGTTTTGACAACTATATCATCAACGTAAGCCTCGACGAGGTCATCTTTTATCTCATCTTTGAGGCAAGCTTGTATAGCGCGTTGGTAGGTAGCCCCGGCGTTCTTGAGCCCGAACGACATGGTCGTGTAGCAGTAGGCGCCGAAGGGCGTGATAAAAGATGTCTTGATCTGGTCATCCTTTTTGAGAGCGATCTGGTGATAACCAGAGTAGCAATCGAGAAAAGAAAGGAGCTCGCAACCGGCGGTTGAATCTACGACCTCGTCTATGCGAGGCAAGCCGAAGGGGTCTTTAGGGCAGTGTTTGTTGATATCAGTGTAATCAACGCACATTCTCCATTCATTATTCTTTTTGCGTACAAGAACTGGGTTGGCTAATCACTCCGGATGATACACTTCTTTGATAAATCCGGCTGCCAAAAGCCATGTAACTTCTACCCTAATCGCCTCCTTTTTGTCGCGAGCGAACCATCGTAGCTTCTACTTGATAGGTTTGGCCTTGCCGTTGACATTCAAGGAGTGCTCAATCAAGTTCCGAGGTACACCGGGCATGTCAGCAGGTTTCCATGCGAATACATCCACGTTGCTCCTCAAGAACCTGACGAGCGCGTCTTCCTATTTGGGATCCAGGTTGGCCCCGATAAGGGCCGTCTTGCTGGGATCACCGTCGACCAGCTGGATCACCTTGTGCTCCTTGGACTTGATGTTCTTGCATGGAGCCTCGAGCTCCAGGATCTCCTGGTGGTCGATCGAGGTCTTCTTGGCGTTGAGCACGGTCTCGGCCATGCGAATAGAGAGGTCGTGAGCCTCTGCTATTTTGAAACTGTCATCTTCGCGGGTATAAGCTGCGTACACGTTGCCTCAGAGGGTTAGAACTCCTTTCTCGGTAGGCATCTTGAGCACCAGATACCTATAATGAGGTATGGCCATGAACTTGGTGAGCGACGGTCGACCAAGAATAGCATGGTAGGTGCCGTCGAAGTCGGCGACCACGAAGTTGACGTAGTCGGTGCGGAAGTGATCCGGGGTTCCAAACTGTACTGGTAGCGTGATCTGCCCGAGAGGTGTAGAGCTCTGTCCGGGGAGAACACCCCAGAACTGTGCCTCGTATGGCTTGAGGTCCGCCTGAGCTATCTTCAAGGCAGGCAGACTGTTCTTGAACAGTATATCAATGGAGCTGCCATCGTCGATCAGTACTCTGTCGAACTGAACTTTGTTGATACAAGGATCGAGGACCAGGGGAAAACACCCTGGCTCAGGTATTGCGGCCCATTGGTCCTTTCTGCTGAAGGAGATTTCGCGGTGAGACCATGGAGGGAGCCGCGGATCGGTGAGGAGATTGTCGGTGTTGGCCACGTTCAAGCAAGCGCGGGCGAGCAGCTTGCATTCTCGTTTGGTCTCGATGGACACTTTGCCTCCGATGATGGTGTGCACGCGATCGGTTGGCTTGACGTACTTGTGACGGGGGTCTGCATCGTCGTCGTCGTTATCCTCGTTGCGCTGTTCCCCTACGTCGTTAGGCTTGTCGGACGTATCCGGAGCTTGTTGATGCGTGTAGATAGACTTGAGGACGCGGCAATTCTCCATGGTATGGTTCAACTTAGGATGGAGCTGGCAGGGCCCCTTCAATGCCTTGGCGTAGTCGTCTTCATAGTTACGACGTCCGCCACCCTTTTTAACGGTGTTGACCTCGCCGTCGTCTTCCCAAGCACGCTTGCTCCTGTAATCATCACGGCGGTTACGCCGCTGATTACGTTGGTCACGGTGGTCACGGGAGTCGTTGCGCTGGTTGCGGCGGTCAAAATTGTCGTTCAACCATGGTTGCCGCGGTAGTCGTCGCGGTGTGGGGGGTGGTCGGAGCGCGGAACCCTTGCTGCTTCTTCAATAATTATCTTTTTAGCGTCGTCGGCGTCCGCGTATTTCTTAGCGGTGGCCAGGAGCGCTATGACCGAATCAGGTCTTTTGCGGAGGAGCTTGTCCCTTAGGGCATCATGGAAGCGGAGGCCAGTGATGAAAGCCTCGATTGCCTCGTTGTCGGAGATTGATGGGACCTTGATGCGCATCTCCGAGAAACGCCGGACGTACTCGCGCAGTGGCTCATCTTTTCGACCTCGAATACGTTGCAGATCGTATTTGTTGCCTGGTTGTTCACAAGTAGCAATGAAGTTGTCGATGAAGGCTTGCTTGAGCTCCTGCCAAGAGTCGAAATAGTTCGCCGGTAAGCTGACCAGCCATTGGTGACCCGCATGGCCAACAGCGACTGGGAAATAGTTAGACATGACATGCTCATCCGCCATGGCTGATCTGCACGTAGTCTCGTAAAGCATGACCCATAATTCAGGGTTTTCCTTGCCGTCGTACTTCTGAAGTTTCTCGAGCTTGAAATTCTTGGGCCATATGACTTGGCGAAGGTGTGGAGTAAACTGCTTCAAACCCGGTGGGCCGTGGACAGTGTCATATTCCATACGGCGATAACTTTCATGGGACGCTCGATCGTCGGCTCTCTGGTTGATGCGAGCGCGCAGATCGCGTCCACCGAGGTAATGGTGGAGATCGTTATTGCCATCACGGCGATCTCGATTGCCATCTGGATTAGCCCTACGACCGTGGTTATCGCGGTGATTGTCGCGGTTGTCCCGGCGGCGGTTGTCGTCCTGGCCACCATCATGGCCACCATTTCCTCCTTGACGGTTGTCTGATGGGTCGTTGTTGCGCGAGCCACGTTGGTTGGGCGGCTGTGAGCGACTTGGGTGCTGGCAGCTGTGGCTTGACTCGACCGAGACGGATGGAGCCCGAGCTTGGTTTACAATCTCCGCGGTCTGGGCCATAGCAGCCGTCAGATAGGCTTGTATTTCATCGCGAACTGCTTGGGTTTCCAGGGTGTTGGGTAGCCGTTGCATTGTTGCCATGGCGACGGCTACATTGGCACTTGGAGTTCTGAAGACCTGTTTGTCCCCCACCCTGTCGAAAGCATCGTTGAGGTCACGTGGCTGGACCCTTATGTGTCGTGCCTCCTGGTCTACTTCGGCTTCGATTTGTCGGCGATTAAACCGGTCAATATTGCATGCTTCGCGTGCAGTCCTTTCTTGTTCTGTTTCACCAACTGCTGGTGGTTCGTCATTGCTAACAACATGGATCAAATCCCCTCGTCTTGGCGGGAAAGACGGGAATTGTGAGAACCCCGGGGCGTGGTCTGGGATATCCAGATCATACTTGACGCCTTCATCTTCGTGATGCTGAAGCTCAGTGTGGACAGATGCATTAGATGCGGTGCCAGACGAGGAGCTGGGGTCGCCCTCTTGGACTGTGTGAATGGATCCTTCTTGATAATCTTCAATCTGGATCATGTTGACGAAGTTGCGCGGCTTCGGCTGAGGTCGGTGCATAAGACACAGATCCAAGCGGCGTTGCAGGTCGTAGGCGTAGCTGGAGGCAGCGTTTTGCAGGCCGTAGGGCTGGACCTGGTAGTTCTCCGTCGAGGCTTCGTACTCAGAGAGCCGGAGACCCGTCGCGAAGGCTGGCCGGCGACGAGCAGAGCACCCTTGAGGAGTAGATGTGACCACGAGACCTGTACCAAGTAGTGCAGGATGACTGGTCCGAGCTGGTCGGGTAGATCTGTTGTGGGGAGCGGTTACCTGCTCATTAGACTGACTTTGAATCGTACTTACCAGAGCCAGGGTTTCAGCGAGCTTGGTGCCGACCCGATCGATGGAGTCGAGCAGGTCGGTGTTGTCGATCTGCCTCCCTTTGTAGCGAGGAAGCGGATGACAAGTTGTCGGCGTGGTTGAAGGTGATGCAGGCGTGGTCGGAGCCAGATGTACCGTGGTCGGAGCCGTATCCACCGTGGTCGGAGCCGCATCTATCGTGGTCGGAGCCGTGTCCACCGTGGTCGGAGCCGTAGCCGATGTAGGTGAAGCAGTGGTCGACGCAGACTGAATCCACGCCTCCTCCGGGGTCATGGCGATGAAGTCGTCGGAGCCAGTGGTCCAGGTGATCTGGCCAACGGTGAACGTGAGGTCGTTCGGCGTAGCCATGGAGCCAGAGATTATAACCGTCTTGTTTGCTTGGGAAGCAGTACGCACACCCCCTACCTGACGCGCCACTGTCGACGAAATATGGTCGGCAGTCTACCTAGGGGTATACCCGAGGTAGTAGATTGTCGGCAGACAGATACGCAAGCCACAAACAAGACAGTGATGCAAGACAGACACAAGGTTTTATCCAGGTTCGGCCGCCAAGAAGGCGTAATACCTACGTCCTGCGTCTGATTTGTATTGCTGTATGTCAATGAGAGATGTTTTTTAGAGGGGTCCCCTGCCCGCCTTATATAGTTCGGGGGGCAGGGTTACAGATCTGGAAACTAATTCTAGCCAGTTACAATTGCCATATGTGGCCGGATAAGGATTCCTATTCTAACCGACCAGGATCTTGATTGATCGCCAAATCTCCGATCAGGTTAACCAGGCCGCACGTCGTCTTTTGGTGGACCAGACCCACCGATCCGGGTCGGTCTAAGCTTAGCCATAAGGGTATAGGGGTTAATACCCCACAGAGTGTAAAACCATTTCTTATATTTAAAAATACCGCTAAATACCCTCTAACAAACTGTACTTCCCAGTGCAAGTACACATGCGTCCATGACTATTTACATTGCTAGAATCTTTCGCATCCCAACCAGGCAACCACGCTGCGCTCGCCCAACTCGCCGCTCTCGCTCAGCAGCGGGCCACCCATGGAGCCGACCGTGCACGACGTCCTGGCGTTCCACCGCGTCGACCGCGCCGCCTACGAGCATCTGCTCTCCCTGGGCGCCGGGCGCCACTCATCCCGCGACGCCGTCGCGCTCCTCATGTGGTTCCATCGCAAAGCCGGCGTCGACGCTGTCTCCCGCGTGCGCGCTCTGGTCCGCACCCAGGCTGCCGCCGCCCAGCTCGTCGCCGAGGCCCGCGCCGTCCTCCTCCACGGCGCCGACGCGGAGTCTACGACGACGCTCCTCTCGTGCGCGTGTGGCGAGGACGACGACGACGCCCGCGCCCGCGTGCGGCGGTTCCTGGCGTCTTGGGGCGGCACGGCCGACGCCCTGCGGCGCGGCGTCGGGGAGGTCCTCGGCGGCGCCGGAGCGCTGGTGTTCGACGATCCGCTACACGCGATCCTGAGGCGGTGGCACGAGGACGGCAGAGACGGCGGCGCGCTCCCGGGGGAACTGGCCGCGCCGTATCGTCGTCGCTGCGTGGCGGCGGCAGAGGTGCAGGAGGAGGACGGCCGGTCTCTGTTCATCACGTTCTCCAAAGGGTTCCCATTAACGCGCGTGGAGGTCGAGGAGTTCTTCACTGAGTACGTAGCAACAAGTCTCAAAGCATAATTATACATGCATGAGATAATTATTAATCTTTGACTGATTAGTCGTTGGGAGTCATGCGTTTATGAGTTGATTTCAGTGCTTTTTTTGAAAATGATTTTACTCAACATTTTTTGCACTGACATTCTACTCATCCGTGCTTAATCTTGGCAATGGTTTGTAATGTGCATGCATCCCTGAACGAGAAGAGTATTCGTATACGTTTTACCGTATACGGCCTAGACTGACACACTACAGTCTACATGCATACAGTATTACTGCAAATAAAGAAAAGCTTTATTATAATTGACGATATATATGAATGTATATACGATTACAGGAGGTGGGGCGGCGATTGCGTGGCAAAAGTGATGATGCAGAAGACGCCGCCGGGGGAGCCGCCGACCTACGGGCGCATTGTGTTCCGGCGCGCGGCGACTGCGGCGGCGGTGCTGGCCGGGCGACCGCTGGTGAAGCTGGTGGTGAACGGGCGCCACCTGTGGGCGCGCAAGTACGTTCCCCGGCCTCCGCCGCCACAGCAACACTAGTAGCACAGGGAACATTTTGTGACGCACTGCTAGATACTTGTAGTATATATATACCTACGCGGCACATGACATGAACAAGTATACACGTGCTCTCGCTAAGAGTATGCCGGCGTCTTACACGCTGCCACAACCAGCATATACTCCATATATATATACACACACACACACACACACACACTACCGGTCATAACTAATCGAAGAACCATGGTCATCATTTGGTCTCATCAGTAACTCGCACCTGGGAAGAAACCAATCGAATCTTATTTGACCTCTACACGACTTGCAACCAAAATCCTAGTCAGGCTATAAAGCTGGATTTCAAGCAACGACCAAAGCAACACACTGCAGCGAAAGCCTGTCGAAATCTGTCAAAGTTGTTGTACAAGTCCGAAGCAACAAACATGAAGGCCCTCAACTTGACCGACCACAACAATCACAAAACCTGAAAAATCTACCACTGCAACACCCAATCAAATCATACCATCTGTTGTTATTCACCAAACCTGAAATTCCTCAACTTCTGATGAACTGAGTATACTGAACATCACATCATCTCAGCAACGCAGAATTAACTTTGGAGTTTGGCCAAATAATTTCCGTCCATCAAAACTGAATAACACTGGTGACCGAATTCGAATCCAAAAAATTCATTAGTTTGACATTCAGAAGAAGTTCAGGATCACTATTCACCTTCAGCTGAGCTACAGCCATGTACACATTCTGTCAGAGTCAAGAAACAGCTACCTCCAGTCACTCACAATCCTATTGGTTCTCATCTTCTATCTAGAGTTACTACACCATTGAGGCAATGGTCAATCCTCCCTGTACCTGTATGTCCTGGGGAAGGAGCACCTCTTCTGCAGCCATGAGACGATGGTCTTGACATCTTCCTTGTTCTGCTTTCTCAATGCACGCTGATCTGCAGACCCCTCGGAGGACGTAGAAGACTTGTGAGCGTCTGATGATGTAGAAGACCTGTCACCCCAAGCTGTCTTCTTCGAGGCCGTCATGGAAGAACCGACGTCGTGCTTGTCTTCTCGTTTCATTAAAACGAAGGTTCTCCAAAGGAACTCACTCATCTTCTGGCACATCTCGTCGTCCTTGATTGACACGAGCTTGAAGAAGGCCTCCGTCAAGGTGTCAGAAGAGTCTGCAATCCGCAGCAGGATGTTCTGGGCCTCCTCCGCTAGCCCGTCGTTCCGCAGCACGGATATGGTGGCGTCCACCACTCCCTCCTTCTGGAACTTGCTCTGGTTCTCCTGGGCCTCGCAGAGTCTCGCAATCACCCTCGCCGCCGTCTTCTTGGCGCCTTTGTCTCCGACGTAGAGCAGCTCGACCAGTGGGGCGAAGCCTCCGAGCTCGCCGATCTTGATCTTGTTGTAGTGGTCGTCGGCCAGCAGACCGAGGATGTGAGCACACCTCGCTCGCATCGGCACTGGCCCCAGCAATGTCCTTGCGATCAGCACAGGCACGGCGTACTGGTCGTCTCCGAACACCGCCTTGTTGGGCCCGTAGGAAGCCGCCTTCTCCAAGATTCTGATGATGATGTCGTCCAGTTCAGGGTCATCAGGGTCCAGGCAGGTCTCCGGCAGGACGCTGACGAGCTTCGCGATCGTCCCGGGGCGGCAGCCGATCAGGTGTACGACTGCGCGCTCGTTGGCGACGAGGATCTCGTGGAGGAGGAAAATCGAGTTCCGGACTTCTTTGGAGCTTCTTGGGGAGTGAGGCATTAGGGTGGCTTGCCCGATCAGGACTTCCAAATCGTGGGAAATGTCAGGTGGATCGGTGGCTGCAATCTTATTTGCTGCACGCCAATGCTCGATGCAGAGCTTGATGAGCACGTTGGGGATGCACATGATGTACGCGAGAACCTCGCCGGTGACGGGACAGACGCGTCGGTTCTCCTTCTGCCATTCCTCCAGAGCTGAACGATCAACTGTCTGCAGCCACGGAACAGTCGCTATCAGAATCTAGCACGAAAGTACGAAACCAATGCAAGAAGAGCGACACAAAGTAATGCAGGTCAGGAAGTTACTGTTCAGTAAGTGAAATTGAACAAATAAGAGTAACAGTGATCAGCATTTTTCATAATCTAAAAATAAATGGTCGCAAGTTCAAAGAAAAAAGTTCTGCCATCGGACACCAAGAATCAAGCATATATAAGTTCTTTCAGCACAGCAGATCTTCCAAGACTTCAGTACTGCCATCAGAGTTATTACCCTTTCTCTAACTAATTAACACAGAACCTAAACAGTTTCAGACAGCAGATTTTTCAGATTGGCACATTGCAAGAATCCAACATGTTTGCAGATTGGCACATTTCTGTCATCCGACACTAAGCAACATGTTTGCAGAAATTCAAGAATAACAATGAAAATATTCACTGCATCATCAGATGATCCAGAACAAGCGTACCAGGACACGTGAAATCGCATCACAGAGAAAACAGAGCCGATGAAAGATTCCTCGCTCCTTTCCGGAGGCGATGACCACGGGGTTCTCCATGACCTTGTTGGAGACGGGGCAGATGAAGAACTGCGGCACGCCCACCGGACCGATCCAGCGCTTCCTGGCGTCGGCGCCGCGGTGGAGCTCGACGGCCGACGCGTTGTCCAGGGCCCGGAACGCGCACTCGAAGAGGTCGATCTGCGGTGGCGGGTTGTTCTCGTCGCAGCACAGGCCCGTGAACCACTCGAGCTCGGTGACCGCCTCCGCCGTCCGCATCCACCGCTCCAGCCCCGCGAGGTCGAGCAGCCACCGGTTGACGACGAGCTCAGTCTTGATCGCTTCGGTCCTGGGCCCGGTGTTGGGGCCCATGGTGGCCTCCAGAAGCTCGGCCGCATTGCCCGCCCTCGCCTCATCGGAGCCGACGAAGGCGTCAAGAACCTCCTCCCCGTCGACGACCAGCGGACCCACGAGCTCCTGGAACGAGAAAGTGACGAAGCCCTCATCCTCCTCCACCTGCGGCTCCTCCTCGTCCGCCCCACCTCCTTCTCCTCCTCCGCGACCAGAGTCGCTCGTGCCGGTGCCATCCCACGGCGCGGGAGTGGGAAGCCCCTCCCTCATCTTGGCGATGATCTCCTTGACGCCGGTGTCCTCCCCACCGTCGCCCGCGGGAGCATCGGCGTCGGACCTTATGGGCGGTGGCGACCTCCGGGTCGTCCGCACCGAGCTGCCCATCCTCGTTGCCATCATTGTGACGCGGCGCGGCGAGGGCGACCTCGACCCTGAGAAGTCCGCCAGACCGCCGCGGCGAGGAGACGGCGACCTCGATCCTGGAGGGCGCGCGAGAGGCAAGGGTTGACCGCCTGGAGGAGGGCGCGGGAGAGGAAAGGGTCGACCACCTGGAGGAGAACGCGGCCTCGCCGTCCGCCTGCGCAGCGTGGGCTCCTCCTCCTCGTTGATCCCCTCCTCCGACCAGTCCATGGGCGGCGCCGCTGCTTCTTGCGTTCTTGGTCTCTTCTTGGCAGGGGTTGAGGAGTTTTGGGAATTGGTTGTTACGGCTTTTGGCGGCAAGGTGGGCGGAGGCGAATTTGGTTGTTATGGCTTTTGCGAATTGATCCCAGTGCCAGGCGCAGTTTGGGGAGATAAATGGAGGAGGGGAGGCGAATTAAGCCGTAGAGATTCGTGCTCTGCGGTCTGCGCACGGTGTAGGCGCGGTTCAGATTGGGTGATTGGTTGGGGACTTGGGGTCCTGAAAGTGAAAGCCAAGGCCCGCGTGTCTGCCAATGCAGCATCGTTTTCTTGGGCTGGGTCGTGACTAGTGGACATCTGGCAAGAAACAACTTATAATAATGATCTTATAACCAAGTTAATGTTGATGTGGAAGAGAGAGATGAGAGCTTGGCTCTTATGTCAACAAGCATAGCATGAAAGTATGTGCAGCAATGAGCTCATGCAGCAAGTGTTATGAGGAGAAATAGAAAAAAAGAAACTTTTTCAAAGATAAATAGAAGAACTGCTGTATAAGTTGGCTTTTATAACTTAACTTATAGCCAAGCACTTGGCTCTATTATTGACCTTACTTTTAGGGCATTCTTGGTTTCTGGTGGTTGCTCGCCTTGCCTCGCCCCATAGAGAACGAGAAACTTGCTCTGTTGCCATCCAGACAAGCTAATTCGGCTCTCCTAGACGAGCAGGGCAATACCCGTCGGCACATACCTCAAGGCAAGCAGACAAGCTATCCAAATACAAAGTTAGGCTCCACATCCTCGCTAGGTGAGGCAATGTAGTGGTGGGCAAAGGAAAGAAGCATCCCGTAATTCACCCAGGCGACATGGTTTGGCTTAGCTAACAGACAACTTGAAAACACATATTTTCAAAGGGAAGCGTGAAATCTACCTAATGGCCATGTTTGGGTCAGCTTCTCAACTAGTTACAGCGAAAAAAATGAGTTGAGCACCAAAAACAAACAGCTTCCCACTCCAGCAGACTATTTACTAGGCTACCAAAATTTGTTGGCCCCACAAATCCTCCCTTCCACTATCCATTCATATTGGCCCAACAGGTGACTAAGCAAAAAATTGTTCACCGCTCTTTTCCCACCGTCGTCGTGGTCTGCATGTCGGCTTCCTGCAACCCTTCCTCACCGGTGGACGCCCCATCGCTGGCCGTCCCCCGCGGGCACTCGAGGTGGCCGAGTTTTTCTAATGCGACAAGAGAAGGAAGAGGATGACATGTGGTGTCATTTTCTACTAGGATGAATTTGGGTGGTTTGTTTTTAGGTAATATTGCCGGAGACAACAACAAAATATGAGTAGTATCAAAATAGGTGGCTACCCAAACATAAAAGTGGGTAATCTGTTTTAGACAGTATTGCTGGAGATGCTCTAACTCAAACTACTGAAGAGTAATCCTAATACAAGGAGTACAAGAGTGATGATGTATGACCAGAGTGACTAATAGAGACAACAACAACGGTTAGTCGCAAAAAAAAAAAGACAGCAACAACGGTTGTTGGGCCACAAACCATAAAGTGAAGTGGGACAAGAGCAAGGGAAGATGCGGCCACGGTGGCTGGGCCAAGCAAGCCAAAAGATTGTTGCAGGCCATAAGCAAAAGAGATTAAAAAAGAAAGAGTTTCTATTTTTTCAAATTAAGGTTTAAACTTCAAATACTACTCAAACTTTTATAAACTATAATTTAAAAATAGACATTTAAACCAAACATTAAACGTTGCCACCTTTTCAAACATATTTTGGAAACTCTATTTTAAATTATTATTTAAAAACTATTTTCAATCCATTTTTGAAATTCAAAACATATATTTATATAAAGCTTTTTAAAACTAAAATTTGAAACATATTTTAAGATATTTTTGCAATATAATTGAACTATTTGAAAATTTTAATCTTGTCTAGACATGTTTTAAAATATATAAGTCAAAAAAATTTCAAACTCAAACATGAAATTAATTTTAGAAATATTTTTCTGAAATAGAATTTCGAATTTTTATTCTTGAAAACAGAACAAAATCTATTATTGTCTTCATTGAATTTTAGAAATTTATTTTCCACAATAAAAATTATGCAATGACTCATGCCTCCAAGGGGACCCAAATCGTCTTTGCAGAATGCAGGGTTGCTCGTTCATTCAATGATGCCGTTTTGTGAAGTCAACTTACATGGTCAACATAATTTACTGGGGACTCAACTTATACTAGAAAGAAGCAGTTTTATTCGGAGTGATGAATTCGTACAGTTCAAATAGTTTTAGAGGAGTAAAAAGAACTGAAATTTTGTGAAGTCGCTCAAGGGGAGAAAGTGTCTTTTTAGTAGTGAACTGTATTGTTCTTTTTTTTACATAGTTTTAGATTGTTTTAGAGCCCGTTTGGATTCTTAGAATTGAATTCATTGTAACAATTATAATTTATGCACAAATGAATTAAGCTAATATTATTCTATATAGAATATATTTATATATTATTGTTAGTCATACAAGAAAGATACTTATACATTGTATTTCTATTATAGGAAAACAAGTTGAAGATAGTGTTATAAATTGGAGAGTAGAAACATAGCGTGGTGATCTATAGGATCAATTTTCATCTCCTACCTTATGAATTTAAGATATGCTTATATGTAAACTTAAAAAAGTTGTGGAATGTCAAATTTCAAACCAAATAGCCTAATCCATTAAGACTCATTTGGATCCTTCAAATTAAATTCATTATAATAAATTATAATTTAGTCACATATTAATTAAGCTAATATGTTTGTACATGTAATATATTTGTATACTATTGTTAGCCATGCCAAAAAGATGTTTATATATTGCATTGCTACTATAGGAAACGAATTGAAGAACGTGCTATAAGCTGTATAGTAGAAATATAGCGTGGTCATCTATAAAATCAATTTCCATCTCATATCCTATAATTTTAAGATATATTTATATGTGAACTTTGGAAAGTCGTGGAATCTTAAATTTTTAAGCTAAATAGCCTAATTCAATAAGTCGATTCCAATTTCTCCAAAATGAAGAAACACAGGGCAGTTGGCTATATATATAATCAAATAAAACTTTTGTGGCCAGATGTGAAATGAAAACCAAATACAATTTGGTAGAGCGGTGGGCTATATATAAAACTTTTTTTTAATTTTAACACTTTTTGAAAACTAATTTTAAATCTAACACTGTTGGTTTTTTTAAAACTAACATTTTTGGCCGCGTCTATTGCCCTGGCACGGCCAAATGCCTGTGCCGCGCCATGCATGGTGGCGCGGCAGCGGGCTGACGTGGCGACGACCAGATTCGATTGACTGCTGACGTGGTAGGGCCTGCCCGCCACCGATCTTGGCGCGGCAAAGCCGCGCCCTGATCCGTGGCGCGGCAGAGCCGAATATAACCCCCACGGCCAGTCCCGTCTGCTCGAGCAACAAACCCCGCCTACCCGTGCCTGGCCGCGCCGCCCGCTCCTCGCCCGGCCCTCCGTTGCCGCCTCCCTCCATTCCCTTCCATTCTCTGGCTGCCTCCCTCCCTTCTCGTCCTCGTTCAAGGTAATGACGCACATTTTATTTTTGTTTGAATGGTGGATAGGATTTTATGAATATGAGTTAAGGTTAGGAGAAAAATTATATTTAGGAACTATGGGCTACGGTTTGAAGAAATATATTAGTTTGATTTTATCAATGTTAAGGTTAATTATTTAGTTAGAAGTATATTTGCCATGTATATTTTTATTGCTATAAGTGTTGGTTACATTATTTTAGTTGCAATGCAAATGATTATATTTTACATTAATTTGCGTTGTTTTGATTGATGTTTAATTTGAACCGTTTTATTAGATGGAAGACATGTTTCAGGAGCAGTTATGGCGAAAACGGGGTCGTCCTAGAGAATTGTACCCCGACGAATCTAGCAAAGATGCCCCCATCCCTCCTGAACTCCTTGTCCCTAACTGTGATTGTAGACGTCCGGCCGACGTGTTTCAATCGAGACAATCGGACACAGCGGCTCGTTGCTTCTACACGTGCGGTCGTTTTAATATAAGTAATTGTTTCTGTATGTTTTTCATCTTCATTTGTATTATTAGGTTAATAATATTTTGTTGAATTTTTGTTGTGTAGGCCCATAAGAGGTGCCTTTTCTTTTAGTGGATCGACGGTGCAAACAAGTTTGATCCCAGGTACCTCCTTTTCGACGATTGGTGGAGAGGGTGACATCCACGAGAGCACTTCGAGCGGTGGATTCCACCTCCCCCTAACCCCCTCCAATGACGGCTAAGGAGAAGCACTTAGCCGTAGTTAGATGACTCGATGAACCTCCTCTGTGCGATTGCGGAGATCGAGCTGTGATAAACCTTGACAATACGTTGGAGTTTGTGTGTCCAAACAAGCATAGAGTAAGTGCAAAGTGTATGTGTTGAAATATTAAGCTATATGTGTTCATATACTAATGTCACGTTATTTAGGTGTATTCAATGGCGAAGTGTCGTTTCAAGGAGTGGTTGTATGGTCCTAAGAACAAATGGCCCAAAGAACCTCCAAAGGCAAAGCAAAAGAAGAAAGAAATGTTAATTTACAAAGCACCGCTAGTCAAGTGCGAATATGGTGTTAAATCCAACTACGGTCTAGTCCATTCGGAGCTTGGAATAGGCCATTATTACGGCCATATGATTGACTATGATGAGGTTGGTTATTTTTATGGTAACCATGAAATCGTATTTTGTTTCTTTTGCTAAGACATATATGATATATTTTTTTCGTTTGAACAGAGCACTAGGAAATACAGGTGGAAATGTTATGATGGTCAAGCTAAGTTCTTGGATGAACTGAAGGGGAGGCAAGTAATTGCACGGAAGATGGGATATGGACCTGACTACGTCACCCTTTTCATTAAATATCGCAAAGACAAGATGCGTGAGTTTGCTAGACAGCGCGGTATTTGTAACCCGATCGATGTTGGGCTTGAGAAATGGGAATTGG